ACCCACTGATATCAATGATTTGGGGGGCTATTCTCTCCTGGTGGCCAGGAACCCACTGATACCAATGATTTGGGGGACTATTCTCTCCAGGTGGCCACAATCTCAATGATTACAGGACTTCTCCTTCCTGCTCGGGGGCCATGATGCCACTAACACTAATGCCGTGGAGACTGTTCACCCCCGAGAGCCACCCACGATCCCACAGACACCAATTATGGGCCTATTCTTTCTCATTGTATCTATTTAAGTTACATCAACTCATATTTACAAATAACGACTTACTTTTTAATACATTTTACATAAATATTTGGCATTCCTAGACTTTTATTATATGAGACTGAACTTTTTCTGTACGTTCGAGGTGGAAGGTTTCTCCTGGTGCAGACTACCCAGAATCATGTGGAAGCGATAAAGTTTACACAATTGACACATGTATCACGTATGATTAGTTACTGTTACACGCTACTGTGTATCTTACAGCACAGACGACGTATTTCCACCCAGTGATAGTTGGCCTCTTTTAATGATTCACGGCCGGGGATGTTATTAGTGGGATTGAACCTCATATGTTCCAAAAATGGGGAGTAAAATTGGCAACAATTTGTTTTACAAAATTTCACCTCATCGCAAACTTTCCCCAAACTTCTCAGAAGAAACTGGTCCACAGAGCTGACAAACCATCCCTCATACGGCTCACAGCGGCTGATTGATGGCTGCTGATCCCGCGGGCGCCGTCGGTATTGTTCCTTCTCTGATCAGCGTGTTGGAAGTTGTACCTCCGGCTCCTCGCGTCAGTCATCATTTGCTTCCAAACAAGTTTTCTGCCGAGGCGCCCGGGGCGTCGAGGGGGACCGAGCACATGAATTTAATTTATTCCCTTCGTTATCAATAATGTGACACCCCCTTCCACGCGAAACATCTGCTTCCCTTAATCGGCGAGGACGTATAGGTAGTGATGAGTGTGGTAGCCCAGGCCACGATGTGTAAAAAAAAACGGCGTTCTTGAACAATTGGGGCTGAAAGGAGATCTTCCAGAGAGCTCCTCTCTCTCTTCTCCTTCTCTCCCCCCCCCTCTCCTCTCTCTCGTCTCCTTCTCTCTCTCGTCTCCTCTCTCTCTTCTCCTCTCCCCCCTCTCCTTTCTTCTCCTCTCTTGTCTCCTTCTCTCTCTCTTCTCTCTCTCTTTCTTCTCCTCTCTCGTCTCCTTCTCTCTCGTCTCCTTCTCTCTCGTCTCCTTCTCTCTCTCGTCTCCTTCTCTCCCCCCCTCTCCTCTCTCTCTCTCTCTCGTCTCCTTCTCTCTCTCTTCTCTCTCCTCTCTCTCGTCTCCTTCTCTCTCTCTCTCTCTCTCTCTCTCTCTTCTCCCTCTCTTTTCTCCCTCTCTCTCCCTCTTCTTCTCCTTCTCTCTCTTCTCCTTCTCTCTCTTCTCCTTCTCTCTCTTCTCCTTCTCTCTCTTCTCCTTCTCTCTCTCTTCTTCTCTCTCTCTTCTCCCCCCCTCTCTCTCTTCTCCTTCTCTCTCTCTTCTCCCCCCCTCTCTCTCGTCTCCTTCTCTCCCCCCCCTCCTCTCTCCCTCTCTCTCTCTCTCTCTCTCTCTCTCTCTCTCTCTCTCTCTCCTCTCTCTCTTTCTGTCTGTCTGTCTCTCTCAAGGTGTTTCATTTGCCACACCCAAAATATCTGCATTCTTCAGCACAAAGGAGTTGGGAGTCTGGCTGCGCCGTACGTGGCTCCCTCTAATAACATGTTCAAACTGCACTCATTCAAAATGCAACCTGATTTCTATACGCCGCTCGTCACATTCCAGCCCCGCAGAACACCTTTAAAAGGGAACTTTGCACTGTCTGCGATAACCGGTTTATTTATTTTTTGCACATGAGGAGAGACAAAAATTGACAGTAAATTTTTTTTTCTTCTAAGGCTGGCCTCACTTTGTGTAGTGTCAAGTAGGTTTCTAAATGCCATTAGCTGAACCAATGATCATCATGGTTATAATATGACTCCCGGATAGATTTGCATGGAGCAGTATATGGGAGTGTCCTCCGCCTGAAGTTTGTTTTCCCTTCTTGAGACTGGGAGGTATTTCACCTGTGACGATGGATGACGAGATTGCTCATCCTCGAACCTTCTGGGATAACTAAAGGTCATCTGTGCAGCTTTGGGTAGCGGCCGCATATATGTGGTGAAGAGTTCCTTCAGGCTTTTGGTTTAACTTGCTTTTGGTTGAACTGGTCCAATGGCCAATGAGTACCTAGTCGCCCACAGTTAGTCAAACATGTTCTGTTTTAGAGGTCAATATCACCCATAACTTTTGGTAGGGTAACGGTGGATTGGATGACCTGGCTTCTTATTTCTCACAAGTACATTAAGTGAAAGGATTTCTGTGTGGTGGATTGTGGCGTTGACCACAATCCAAGACCATACCAAGGACTCTTTGTTTGTTGTCTGTCATAAAGGAGAAAGGGCAGCGGCAGGAATGAGGTAGCAGGATGTCCATGCTGTAGACCAGAGGTTCTCAACCTGTGTAACCTCAGGACCCACATTTTGTCCTCCGTCATTAAGTCGTGACCCAAGTCGCACTGCAATGGAATGCACAGCATTAGGGTATCGCGCATTCTGGATGTACGAACTGTGGGTGGGAGGTGCGTTTGGGGGTGCCATTCAAATGAATGGCAACGCAACACACCTCCCACACCAGAAAGCTCAGTAGGTGTGCGATTGCGTAGCACAGTGCGTTAATCGCATGGGACCGTGCTATTAACGCACTGTACTGGTGTGAACGTGCCCTCAAAAACACTTTTCTCACACACACACACACACTCAAAAAAAGGGAAAAAAAATGTTTTTAAGATCCACCCAGTCTCCCTACCTTACGAGAACTGGGTCCAGTGCCTCCATGGAAAGTTATAGACTTCTCTGCGGCATCTGGATTCAGTTAGCCCTCGCGGCAGTGGAGCTGAGCCTCATATCCGCCAGCCCGTAACGTTATATAGGCAAGCGATCCCCCGCTCCGTCTTAATGTAATTGAAAATTATGCATGTTGTAGACTCGCCGCGCTGAAATGCAGACTCGTAAAAGCTGCGGTTCAGGTAGCCTGTGGAGATCCGATCGAGGAGACAATGAAGCTTTTATGCGGATCCCATAGACGTCTGTGCGTCTCCACTGCTCAAGTGAAATACATGGCTGGCCCGGAGATTATACTTGCAATGATGAAGCTTCATAAATACGTATCGATCAATGCCGATCCCTTAATGGGTGACTCTTCATAGACTTCTATAGGACTTTGTGAGATACTAATAATGCCGAATGTCATGCCGTACTGCAATTCCACTTCATCAGAGATTATATGTAAATAAGAAGAAATAGACAATTCACTAACAGTCCCCAAATATCAACAAGTCACGTGCATGAGTTATTAAGGCACATTGGCCGTTGTTATTTCCTGCCACATTGACCTATTTAAACTGCCGTCCTTCCCTTCAGTCTCCTATCTGACCTCCGTCCTTCTCTTCAGTCTCCTATCTGACCTCCGTCCTTCTCTTCAGTCTCTTATCTGACCTCCGGCCTTCCCTTCAGTCTTCTATCTGACCTCCGTCCTTCCCTTCAGTCTTCTATCTGACCTCCGTCCTCTCCTTCAGTCTGCTATCTGACCTCCGTCCTTCCCTTCAGTCTCCTATCTGACCTCCGTCCTTCCCTTCAGTCTCTTATATGAACTCCGTCCTTCCCTTCAGTCTCCTATCTGACCTCCGGCCTCGCCTTCAGTCTTCTATCTGACCTCCATCCTTCCCTTCAGTCTTCTATCTGCTTGCAAACCGCCCTAGGTATCGCCCACATGTAATTCTGAGCTTCCATGATTGAAATGATGGGCACAGGAGGTGTACAGACCCGGGAACTCAGCACAGGGATGGTGGGAGCCTCTCATAATGGGCACAGCGGGTGTACAGCCCCGGGAACTCAGCACAGGGATGGTGGGAGCCTCTCATAATGGGCACAGCGGGTGTACAGCCCCGGGAACTCAGCACAGGGATGGTGGGAGCCTCTCATAATGGGCACAGCGGGTGTACAGCCCCGGGAACTCAGCACAGGGATGGTGGGAGCCTCTCATAATGGGCACAGCGGGTGTACAGCCCCGGGAACTCAGCACAGGGATGGTGGGAGCCTCTCATAATGGGCACAGCGGGTGTACAGCCCCGGGAACTCAGCACAGGGATGGTGGGAGCCTCTCATAATGGGCACAGCGGGTGTACAGCCCCGGGAACTCAGCACAGGGATGGTGGGAGCCTCTCATAATGGGCACAGCGGGTGTACAGCCCCGGGAACTCAGCACAGGGATGGTGGGAGCCTCTCATAATGGGCACAGCGGGTGTACAGCCCCGGGAACTCAGCACAGGGATGGTGGGAGCCTCTCATAATGGGCACAGCGGGTGTACAGCCCCGGGAACTCAGCACAGGGATGGTGGGAGCCTCTCATAATGGGCACAGCGGGTGTACAGCCCCGGGAACTCAGCACAGGGATGGCGGGAGCTCCTCATAATGAGTACAACAGGTGTATAGACCCGGGGCTTTAATTCAAGGATCTTGTCAACAGAGTCCCTGAGAGATTGCATTGACCAATTTTTGAAATGTCAGCTTGCATGGAGGGACCCTCTCGGACTGGCCTTTGATTTGTAAATATGTTTGATTTCTTATCGGCTAACATGTAAAGAATGCATTGTGCACCCTGCATGAGTATATCTCTCTATGAAGCTGGCCGTACACCCCACAATTGTGATCATACAATCTCCTCTTACTATGAGGATCTACCTTCACAATCCATGTCATCTGTATCTAGTCAGGCCGGCCCTGGCACTGCACAGCTGCTGGTAGATCTGACGTAGATTGTACAATCGGGTTGTGTAGCGTACGGTCAGCTGAAGAAAAGCGACATGTGTTTGATCAATAAAGTTTGTGCGTTTTCATTTCACAAACAATAATCATTTTCTTTTCTTCTTCCCTTTTTGCTGCCCTTCCAGTACCTACAGATGAAGTGGCCACTCTTGGATGTCCAGGCGGGGGGTTTACAGAGCCGGCAAGCAATGAAGGACGCCAGGTCTCCGTCTCCGGGCCACATCGTTGTAAGTAACCCTTTTTTTTTATTACCTTGCACAGGATCGCCCGGCGGGGGGGGGGAGAATTCTCGGGGTTGGGTGTGATTTATGTTGAGCATTGTGAATTTTATGTTTTCTATGATTCGAAAAAGGCCACTGAAGAGGAAACAAGCTTTGTCCTTGTGTATTAAGTCCTTAGGGGAGGACCAGACTAGGGGCAGGACTGAGGGGTAGGAAGAAGAGGCAGCCGCCTTGGGCGCTTCAGCAGGAAGGAGCCCTAAAAGGGTAGGACCCGCAACCTATGCTGAGGAATTAGTTTACAGCTCATGTGGGGAGTGGTGGGGGGTACTTCTGTCTTTTGGCTTTGTCCCTACACTGGCTGGAAGGCATTTGCCCCATGGGCCTGTGCTGTTAAGATGTATTGTGCTGGTCGCTCTGACTGAAGATACTCCACCATTCAGATCTTGATCAGAGTAGGACCCTCAGTCTGCTATACATGGTGGGTTTTAAATACCTACCAACTCCCTGTTCCGGCCTGAAATAACAACGCCCCGACAAAGGGAATGCCGCTCTGACATGTCATGTGACCAAATGTTGACAACCGAATGGAAGTCGATGCTGGAACATGAACCCATAAAG